GTCCTGGCTTCATGAACTAAATTTCCCATGACTTGAGGCAAGATAAATGTAGCTTCCCTATGCTTTGGTTTCCTTACCTTTAAATGGAGACAATCATGGTACCTACTTCAGAGGGTTGTTGTGAGCATCTAATGAGATACTACAAAGCACTCTATAGAATTTCAATAAATGCTAGCTATTGTAACATTATTGCTATTATTTGTGTCCCAGTTGGTGAACTGAGAAAGAATGTCACTGGATGGCTGCCAAGCACTTTCGATACATGTATCTTATTTGATCTTCCTATCAGCCCTCAAAGGTGGTGGTAGCCAAGAAAGGCCAGCTTGGAGCCATTCTTGGGATCACAGGGAAAGCAGCAGCCCTTGTAAGCTGTTGTCAGCAGGCTTCAGCAACCACATCAGTGAACAGAGGCAGGCTTCTGTCGGCATTTGTTCAAAGGCTCACTTTTAGGGGTGCAGTCTTCTTGGCTCTGAGAATAGATTCATACCAGTACCTCTATCTTGAAATACCTTTGCTTTGTCCAAGTAACCTCCTCCCACACCGAGTACTAGAATCAGCTCAGATTTTTTTTTCTTAATATTGGCAACACTTAATGCTACTTCTCTGTTCATAACATTTCATTTAATTATTTAAAATCTGCAAAAATGTTGTGTATATTTTACCACATTTTTTAAAAGTCCCCAAGTGTAGACCACACTCTAGCATTTCTAAAAATAAAAATAAACATGTTAAAATAAAGTAAGAGTGCGTTTTTACTGCATTATGTATTTTTAATTGAAAGTTTCCCCCCACAAAAGAAATGATACTACAAACATATTTCACATGTTTAATAACAAGTTTCTGTTAAGCTTCACATTTCTCTCAATAATAGTTTTATTTTTTTATACATTTTGTCATTAATTTAATGAAGTAAATAATTAGTATGGCTGTTGGGAGCAAATTAACTTCAGGTAAATGTTTTATAGATCTCAGTGATTCATTGTTTATTAAATTCTGAAGTACTGAGCAGTGTCCAGTGTGAAATCCCATCTGGCTTCTTTGCAGAAATTAAAATTCATATTGAAATTCAAAGAACCCAGAATAGCCAAAACAATCTTGAAGAAGAACAAACTTGGAGGACTCACTCACATGTTCCAATTTTAAAACTTACCAGAAGCTATAGTGATGAAGACAGTGAGGTAATAGGACTGTGAAATAAACCATCCCATTTAAGATCCATTGATTGACAAGGATGCCAAGACCATTCAAAGGGGAAAGGACAGTCTTTTCAACAAATGGGACTGGAACAACTGGATATCTACATTCAGAAGAATGGAGTTAGACCCCTACTTGATACCATGCACAAAAATTAGCTCAAAATGGATCAGAGACTTGAATGTAAAAGGTAGAATTATAGGAGTACTGTTTCATAACCTTGCATTTGGCAATGGTTTCTCAATAACACCAAAAGAACCAGCAAGCAAAAAAATAAGTTGGACTTCATTAAAATTTAAAAATTTATGTGCTTCCAAGGATTCCATCAAGAGAGGAAGAAAAAAACCTAGAGTGGGAGAAATAGTTGGAAGTCCTTATAACTCAATTGTAAGATGATTGTAAAATGAGCAAAGAATCTGAATAGATATTTCTCCAAAGATGTACAAATGGCCAGTAAATGTGAAAAGATGCTCAACATCATATCACTAGGGAAAAACAAATCAAAACTACAACAAAACACACCATGTATACTGGGATGGCTATAATGAAAAACAGACAATAAGCGTTGTGAGGATGTGGAGAAATTGGACCCCTCCGACATTGCTAGTGGAAACCGCAAACAGTGCAGACACTTGGGAAAGTAGCTCCTCAAAAAGTTGAACGCAGACTATGACTCAGCAGTTCCACTCCCAGGTTCATACCCAAGATAAATGAAAGCATACATCCACACAAAAATTCACATGCATATGTTCATAGCAGCATTATTCCGAATAGCCAAAAAAATGGAAACAACCCAAAGGTCCATTGAGGGATGATGAATAAATAACAATGTAGTATATCCATACAATGGAATGCTATTCTGCAATAAAAAGGAGTGAAGTACTGATACATACTACAAGGATGAGCTTTCAAAGTACTGCTAAGTGAAAGAAGCCAGTCACAAACTATCACATGTCATATGATTCCATCTCTAGGGAAAAATATCTAGTATAGGGAAATCTATATAGAAATAGAAAATGGGGCCAGGTGCAGTGGCACACACCTGTAATTCCAGCAACTTGGGAGGCTGAGGCAGGAGTGCAAGTTCAAGATCAGCCTTAGCAATTTAGCAAGACTCTATCTCAAAAAAAGTGGGAGGGGGGCTGGGGATGTGGCTCAGTGGTTAAGTGCCCCTGAGTTCAATCCCTGGTACAAAAAGAAAAAGAAAAAAAAAATAAAAGATACAGAAAATGGGTTAGTAGTTACCTAAAGTTGCTTGTGATGGTTGTACAACTCTGAGTATACTAAAAATCTTTGAATTACACACTTTAAATGGGTGAGGATTGGATGATATGTTATCTCAATAAAACTATTACAAAACAAAAATTTCCAACATGAGCAATTATTTGAAGAACGTTTACCCATTTGTCACACTATTTTGGTCTTTATTTTTTTTCCTAAAGTATATTCTTGCTTGCCTTATGAGTCTGATGATGCCAGTTGTAGAAGCCCTTAACTCTTAAGCTACTGCAATTTTCTTTGACAATCTGTTTATAATTTTCTTATAACTTCATTAGTTCAGTTTTTCAAATAATGGTTTTTGCCAGGCACAATGGCACACACCTATAATCCCAGCAGCTTGGGAGACTGAGGCAGGAGGATCACAGGTGAGGCCAGCCTCAGCAACTTAGTGAGGCCCTAAGCAACTTAATGAAAACTTGTCTCAAAAAAACGAAAAGCCTGGGATGTAGCTCAATGGTAAAGGGCCCCTGGGTTCAATGCCAAGTAACTCCCCCCCGCCCCCCCCACCCCCCCCTCCCCCGCCAATAATAAGGGTCTTTATTCAGCCGCTCTGTCCAAAAGAATGGCTGAATAAAGAATGACCCCACCCTACTCCACCAGTGGTCTGTTTATATTTGGGAGAAAACTTAGCAAGAGAAAGCATTTTTCCAGGTATATGGCATGGAGATTAAAAAGATGTTGGCTTGAATATAAAGCTATTCTGAGCCCTAGAACACCAGGGGAGAGATATGGGGCTTTTAGGAACCTGCCTGTTCACAGAACTGAATGTGATGTCCAGGATCATGTTAGAATGAGTCCATTCACTTCCCTTGTTGTTTGAAATTGAAAAATAAGTGAGAAATGACCTGCTAACAGGGGTTACACAGCTCCAGGACATTCTCTGCTTCCCCAAACTCTTTGGAGGGTTCCAAACCCTCTCAGCTCTTACTTTCCATATAGCTCTACCCACCCCTGACCTCCATGTTACTAGCCTCTTCCAGGGAAGGACCTAGAACTCAGGCTGAGCTACACTGTCTGCCAAATGAGCTCCAGCAAGAGAAAGCCAGGTTCAGGCCTGCTCCTTTCCAAAGAGGTGTCAAATGTCAGGGGCAGGTGTTTTTGGATGGTACAAGGCATAGGTTGGAGGGTGAGAGGCTTCCAGGGTAGAAGCTACATGGTTCTTTTTATATTGGGAGCCCTGGCCACTTCCTATGAAGCATGCAGTTAACAGGTCACCTCCAAGTGACCAGTGATAGCTCCTGGGCCAGCTGTTGTCAAAATGTTTCTTAAAAACTGGTAGGTAGTCTGAGATAAGGAAATTCTGTTGTGTTGGAGTTATCTGGGGTTCCTAAACATAGGAGACCTGCTACTTAAATGATCAGCCTGCCCCATGCATTCATCACAGACTGGAGTAGTTTGCCTGAATGAGTTGCAGAATGGAGCCGTATGTAATGGGAGCTCTGGACCCTTCCCCAGTCCCTGTGTTCTTTTTAAATTTTTGGTACTGGGGATTGAACTCAGGGGCACTCAACCACTGAGCCACATCCCCAGCCCTATTTTATATTTTATTTAGAGACAGGGTCTCACTGAGTTGCTTAGCTCCTCACTGTTGCTCAGGCTGGCTTTGAACTCCCAATCCTCCTGTGTCAACCTCCCAAACTGCTGGGATTACAGGCATGTGCCACCAGGCCAAGTTCCCTGTGTTCTTGAAGCTAATACTCTACCCCACCCCACCCCCACAAGGTGAAAACTGAGCAGGGAAGCTTTCCTACCTTGAACATTTAGTCCTTTGTCATGTACAGGATCTGTTGACCAGGACCATTGTGGGGCATGCCACAGGCTCCCATCTACCTCATTTGTACTGCCACCCAGTCTCCCCCATAACTTCAGGTACCTCTCAAGTCTTCAAGGCCATGGCTGAATGAAAATGTAACTACAAGCCTGCTTCCCTTCAGCATTCAAGCAAAGCTTTACAAAACTGTACATTCCTGTTTTGAATGTGGTTGAGCAAAAAAGATTTTTCAAATTATCAGGGCTGCATTGTATTCCCCTGGGACTGCACCTTTCACAGTGTGGCCAAGACAGAGAGAGCAAGCAAGAGGGAGTGCAGCAAATTACCCCTGCTACTTAAGCTTTCATAAGAAAATTGGTTTGGGGGATATTTTCTTTGTTCTTATTTTCTTTGGCCCTCAGTGGGGGGAAAGTTCATTTTCTTTCATTGGAAACTATATTGCTTTTTAAAAAATGAAATATTCTCTACCAAGCTCTGCATTTAAAAGTGCTTGTAGCAGGGCCACACCTGTAATCCCAGCACCCTGGGAGGCTGAGACAGGAAGATCACAAGTTCAAAGCCAGCCTCAGCAAAAGTGAGGTGCTAAGCAACTCAGGGAAGTCAGAGACCCTGTCTCTAAATAAAACACAAAATAGAGCTGGGGATGTGGCTCAGTGGTTGAGTGCCCCTGAGTTCAATCCCGGGTACCAAAAAAAAAAAAAAAGGTCCCTCCCATACCCCTCCACCCTGTGGCAGGGCCAAACTGAGGCAGGCATCAGGCACACTTGCTGACGCACTCCAGCAGCTCCATGCGGATGGCAATGCGGATGTGCCAGCCCAGTGGGATCAGGCGGATAAAACGGGAAATGATGGGGGGCCGCAGCAGGTTCTGGACTGTGGAACTTCTATCTGAGTTTCCATAGAAGACCTAAAGAGAGAAAAGAAATCCTGTTACCATTACATCAGGGGAGAGAAAAAGACAACCAACTACTATCTGGAGTCAACTCCAACTTTGAACCATGGACAATCCTAGAAAGTAGTTATAGTGCAAAGAATTTATAAGTACCCTGTAAAATCTGACCTTTAATAATTGTCAGCACCTATATACTTGAGGCATTTCTGAATATATGAAGACTTTTGGAACTACACCATCCAATGTGGTAGCCAGTAGCATCTATTTAAATTTAAATTTATATGAATTAACATTAGATGAAAATTCAGTTTCTCAGTCACTTTTTTTTTTTTCTTTTTTTTTCTTTTTGTAGCACCAGGGATCAATCCCAGGGTCTCATCCATGCTAGGCAAATGCTCTACCACTGAGCTGCACCCCCAGCCCACATTAGCTACCTTTCAATGTATATCATTGGACAACACAGATATGAATATTTCCATTATTGCAGAAAGTCCTATTGGGTAGCACTGATAGAAAATACCTCTTGCCAGGTATGATGGCACACATCTGTAATCCCAATTACTTAGGAGGATAAGGCAGAAGGATCACAAATTTGAGCCCAGCCTCAGCAACTTAGTGAGACCCTATCCTCTATCTCAGAAAATGAAAAGGTCTGGAAATTTAGTTCAGTGGTATAGCACCCCTGGATTCAATCCCCAGTACCAAAAAAAAAAAAAAAGAGCTTTTTGACTCTTACTGTCAATTTTGTGTTTTTGTTGTCTGCATTTTGACAAGACAGTTTAAAAAGCCCATATCATACTTACAAGAAGAATGTTCCCATGTTTCAAAGGTATCCCAAATGGACTCAAATAGAAACTTGTGCCTGGCTCTGAAGCTGTGAACCAGAGCTGAAATGTGTGTTCCTACTTTGATACTAGTGACAAGTACCTTTTAGACTTGGAAAAATATTTTTTTAAACAGATAAAAACTGGAGGGTGGTATCATAGAGAAAAAAAGGGTTTGATGCATAGTGTTTTTCAGGAAGTAGCATGCAAAAAGATGCAATGGATATTTGACAGTATTTCCAAAGAAATCATTCTTTGCACTATTCCCAGAGTCATAGTGTTCTCTCCCACGACAAGGGAACACTTCATTTCCTTCTGAGATAATCTCCTGAATTTGGCCTTAAACATCCACTAACCAAGGCTGGCCTTATCTCATTGACAAAGGTGTCAACAACATACACTGGAGGAAAGACAGCCTTTTAACAAACGGTGCTGGGAAAACTGGATATCCATTATGTAAAAGACTGAAACTAGATCCCTATCTCCCATCCTGTGCAAAAGTCAACTCAAAATGGATCAAAGAGCTGGACATGGTGGCGCATGCCTGTAATCTCAGCAGTTTGGGAGGCTGAGGCAGGAGGATCACAAGTTCAAAGCCAGCTTCAGCAATGGCGAGGCGATAAGCAATTCAGTGAGACCCTGACTCTAAATAAAATATAAAATAGGGCTGGGGATGTAGCTCAGTGGTTGAGTGCCCTGAGTTCAATCCCCAGGACCAAAAAAAAAATGGTATCAAAGACTTAGGAATTAGACCAGAGACTATGCAACTGCTAGAAAACACAAGGGAAACACTTCAAGACATAGGCATAGGCAAAGATTTCCTGAATAGCTCTAATAGCTCAAGAAATAATAGCAAGAATTGACAAGTTGGATTGCATCATATTAAAAAGCTCCTACACAGTAAAGAAAACAACAGAGTGAAGAGACAACCTACAGAATGGGAGAAAATCCTTGGCAACTACTCTTCCCACAGAGGAATAATATCCAGAATATATAAAGAACTCAAAAAACACCAAAAAATAAAAAAATAACCCAATCAATAAATGGGCAAATGAACTGAACAGACAGACCCTTCTGAAAAGAAGACAAATGACCAACAATTGTATGAAAAAAAAATGTTGAATATCTTTGTCAGAGAAATGCAAATCAAAACTACATTGAGAATTCATCTCACCCCAGTCAGAATGTCTATCCTCAAAAATAAAAATAATAATAAATGCTTGAGCTAGGCATGGTGGTACACACCTGTAATCCCAGCAGCTCGGGAGGCTGAGACAGGAGGATTGCAAGTTCAAAGCCAACCTCAGCAATGGCAAGGTGCTAAGCAACTCAGTGAGACCCTGCTTCCAAATAAAATACAAAATAGGTCTGGGGATGTGGCTTAGTGGTTGAGTGCTCCTGAGTTTAATCCCCAGTACCTAATAATAATAATACTGGTATGGATGCAGGGGAAGAGGAACCCTCATACACTGCTGGTGGGGATGTTAAATTAGCACAGCCACTAAGGGAGTCAGTATAGAGGTCAAAAGCTAAAAAGAGAACTACCATAGAATTCAGCTATAGCACTACTGGATATATCTGAAAGAACTGAAGTCAGCATACTTATAGAGGTAACTGCATACCCAAGTTTATTGAGGTACAATTTACCATAGACAAGTATTGGTGCCCATCAACAGATAAATGTATAAAGAAAATGTGATCTATATATACAATGGAGTATGATTCATCCATAAAGAACGAAATTACGTAATTTGCAGGAAAATGGGTGGAGCTGGAGGACATCATTTTGAGTAAAATAAGCCGTACTTGAAAAGATAAGTATTGGGCTGGAGATATAGCTTTGTGGCCAAGTGCCTGCCTAATATGCATAAGGCCCTGGGTTCCATCCCCAGCACCACCAAAATAAATAAATAAACGAATGGATGTCAGGCATGGTGGCACATGCCTGTAATCTCAGCAGTTCAGGAGGCTGAGGCAGGAGGATCAAAAGTTCAAAGCCAGCCTCAGCAATTTAGCTAGGCCCTAAGTAACTTAGTGAGACCCTGTCTCTAAATAAAATACAAAAAAGGTCTAGGAATGTGGCTCAGTGGTTAAGCTCCCCTGGGTTCAATCCCTGGTATCAATAAACAAACAAATAAATAAATGACATGTTTTCTCATGTGAAATCTAGGAAGAGAAAAAAAGATAACATGAGAAGGGAGACTATTCATTAGCAAGAAGGATATTGGGGTAGGGGAGAGAAAGGCTAGAAATGAAGGGGTAAATGATCAAAATGTGTTATCTGATGTATGACTATAATATAACGAAACTAATATGTACTAAAAAAGAACAGGACAGGCCTTGTCTGCCATGATCTTGCTTTTCTTCCCAGTAGTAACACCTAATGTTATCCTCTCTCAGCTGTTTGTCCTGGAGTTATTCCAATCAGGAACCAGATATAGAGGGGACTATGGAACAGGCTCCACTAGTTTATGCAAATACCAGAAGTGAGTGCCTCTTTCAAAGAACAATGACTATCAAGACCTGTGCAAGAAGCACAGGGCTTTAATATGTGGATGCTAACCCAAAACAAGGGAGTGTGGCTAGGGCAAGAATAGAAATCCAGTGGATTATAGACAAAGGGGAATGAAGGAAAGGGAATGGGAGGGGAAGAGGAAGGACAGTAGAATTAATTGGATATAACTTTCCTAGCCTTGTATTGGAATACATGATCACGGTAATTCTACATCATGTACAACCACAAAAATTAGAATAAGTTATACTCCGTGTATGTATAATATGTTTGTCCTGGAGTTATTCCAATATAAAATACATTCTACTGTCATGTATAACTAAAAAAGAACAGCAACAACAAAAAGGCACGGGGCTTGAAACAGAATCCTAATATCTTTTGGAAAAGCCAACTAATAAGAACAAAAATGAATTTAGATGTCCAAGTATCAAGATGGTTTTTTCCCATTGTGTCCGAACTCCTCAACCTCATCCATGAATGTCATACTTTGCAGATTGTCATCAGACTGACCACAAAGCCTTCTCATTGTCAGCCATACAGGTCTGCTTAACCTAGTCAAATGTCAAAATGAGCCCGGGTAATTCCTTACTCTTAGGCAAAAAATACTTAACATTTCCAAACAGGTAGTGAATTTTTAACTCATTTTTGTTCATTTCAAATATTTATAGTCAGGAATCTAATGTGTTTAGTTTATGATGAAGATGACTTTGGTCTCAGTTTTCAAAGATTAATAGGATATAGGGTTGCCCAAAAGTGTCTGTTCTTGCACTGGTGGAATCCTTTTAATAAACACTAGTGTGATTAGGCAGCTAACTTGCTAGGTTGTCAAAAGGTTTCCAGCATTCAATCTCAGATCAATAGTAAGGAGAGGCCATATCTATACAAATGCATGATTATCTACCCGTGTCTGTAATGGATCAAGCCAAACCCATGAAGCAAAGTGTGTTCAATGATCCAGTGAGTTTGCAATACTCCCTATGGCCAGTCTTGGGTCTTTAGGCAACTATGCACTGATAGAAATCAGACAAATATTTTCTTTGCATAAAAGAGCAACATTCATTCACAAACTGCCAGGCACTAATGCGACAACCAGGAAAGATCAAACTGAACTGCAGGAAAGAAGCACAGATGACCCACTCTGCCATGGGATTAGTGCTCTGACAGAAGGTGACGAATGCAACACAGGGATAAGAGAGGCGTCCCAGAGAGGGTGTGTGCCGAAGATGGGTTTTGGGTAAGCTCCACTTACCCGGTTGTTTCCAGTTTGGTCCTTATAGTAAATCCAGTTCAGGCTCTCATCACTCCTGTACTGCACACTATACTTGGTCATCCACTCGTCGATGTCACAGCGCCCCTGGGTAAGGATCCCTGAAATCACCTTGATCTCCTTCAGATCTATTTGTAACCACTGGCTGCTGTCTTGGAACTTGGAGAGCCACGCACACCTGCCAGAAACACATCAAGTCACCAGGAACCTTCCCCTGTGAGTGCCTGCAAATAGCCAGCAAGCACCAGAAGATACCATCCCCCAGTTCAAGTCTTTGTACCTGCCGTAACCCATGCTTCTTATCCTCCCTCACCTGACCATCTGTTATGGTTTGGACGTGAGGTGGCTCCCAAAAGCTCATGGGTGAGACAATGCAAGAAGGTTTAGAGGATAAATGATTGGGTTAGGAGAGCCTTTACCCAATCAGTGAATTAATCCCCTACTAGATTAACTGATGGTAATTGAAGGCAGGTGGGGTGTGGCTGAAGGAGGTGGGGCATTATGGGCATGACTTTGGGAACATATTTGTATTTGGCAAGGGGCGACTCTCTCTGCTTTCTGATCATCGTGTGAGCTGCTTCCTTCTACCATACTTCCAGCATGTTGCTCTGCCTCACCTTCAGCCCCAAGGGATTACAACCTCTGAAACTGTGAGCCTCCAAATTAACTTTTCATCGTTTACAGTTGTTCTGGCTGGGTCTTTTAGTCACAGCAGTGAAAAAGCTGACTAAAACACAATCTTCAAGTCTCAGATGAAATATCTTTTGCTTAGAAACTCTTCCCTGGGCCAGGTACGGTGTTGCACCCCTGTAATCCAAGTGGCTTGGGAACCTGAGACAGGAGGGTCATGAGTTCAAAGCCAGCATCAGCAACGGTGAGGCGCTAAGCAACTCAGTGAGACCCTGTCTCTAAATAAAATACAAAATAGGGCTGGGGATGTGGCTCAGTGGTTGAGTGCTCCTGAATTCAATCCCCAGTACAAGAGAAAAGAAAGAAACAAAGAAAACCTTCCCTGGTTCCAGGAGCAGTGGTGCATGCCTGTAATCCCAGGAACTTGGGAGGCTGAGGCAGGAGAATTGCAAGTTCAAAGCTGGCCTCAGCAACTTAGTGAGGCCCTAAGTAACTCAGTGAGACCCTGTCTCTAAATTAAAAAGGAGCCAGGGATGTCGGGATGTGGCTCAATGGTTAAGTGCCCTGGTACCTGATACAAAAAAAAAAGCCTTCCCTGGTACTTGCAATGGATGAGATCTTATTTCCTTCTTCATTTTCCTCACAAGGCTCATCACACTTACTGAATAATCGGTTGTGTGCTGATGTGCTTACAGTCTGTCTGTTCCTCTAAACTGTGCACCTCCTGAAGGCCAGGACCTTATCCATCCTGTCCACTGCTATACCCACAGTCCTTGGCACATGGAAGGTACTCAGTATTGAATAAATAAGTGCATTCTGTGCCATTTGTTTATTAGAGAAACCTATTTTTTTAAAGTATATGGGAAAAACAAAACAGAAAACCACCTGGGACTGCACTACTTACCCAAAGCCTTGACTGTTGAGCCGAGCCTTGTTTGCAGTCCATGAGGAATACCAGCCCACATACTGCTCCGGATTGGAGCAGGTGATCTGGTCTGGTGTGACCTCCCCTGACTCAAAACCCAGGGGCTTGTGATATGGGCATTCTGGAAAGGAAAAACAACGCACATTCAATTCAAACATCCATACCTCTAGCCGGGCACAGTAGTACACACCTGTAGCCCCAGCTGCTTGGAAACTGTAGTGGCATGTAAGCCAAAAGTACAAGGCCAGACTGGTAACAGAACAAGACTCCCATCTCAAAAAGAAAAATTAAAAACAAGCCTTTCCACCACCACATCTCAGTACTCAGATGACTGAAGTAACAAAGCAACCCTATCTTGTTTGCACTGTGGAAATGGAGAATGTTTTACTTGTCAGCAAGGAGGTTCACAAAAGCCTTCAACTATTTACTGCTCATGCGGAAGGAGCATGAAGGATGAAGTGAAGGGATTGCCATAGAGACTCAACGTTCAGAAAAGCAGAGGGAAATGGTTCTATGGCAACCTCATAGGGGGAGGGGGATTTGAGAAATACTTCTCCTCCTCCACCAACTTTGAGACCTAAACACTAAGAGGTACTCGGTAAAATAGCATATTTAAATGTCAGACATCTTCAGTTCCCTCATTAGCGAGCAGGTTTAGCCATGCTGCATGATGACATCCGGGTCTCTAATTGTTCTTGGGCAGCAGATGATGCCAATTATAGGAATAAAACAATGGTGAGCCAGCAAGAAAGGCAATTATATATTGACTTCCCACTTGTAAATTGCTGTTTTCTCACCAGTCTAATGCAAAATAAATAAATAAATAAAAATAGGTGAAGTATACCTGAGTGACTATTGAATACGGATCAGCTGAAAGACACTGCTTTTTCCAAATGGAAATAGCCCAAATTGGGCTATATGCTGTTTCCTCGTATTGACAACAGTATTGGGTTACCTGATCAGAGACTGCCAATTGCCAACCCAACCACCATTTCCCCCTTCTCTTAGACTAAAAAGGCTTAATTTTATTGGTGACAGCAATGTGGCCAGCTAAAGAGGCAATCATTTGCAGGCTTTCTTGCAGTTAGAAGTAACCACATGACATAATTTCTCACCAGTGAGATGTAAGAAGATGTGTGCTAGGGATTTGTGGTCAAGTTTTGCTTGCCCCTTCTTTCTTCCAGTTGTCTAGATTGAAGGACCTGATAGCTGGTGTAACTGTAGCCATCTTGTACCATGGGGTAAGAAGAACTATAGAGCCCTCAGCCCTGATATTCTTTTTTCTTTTTCTTTTTTTGTACCAGGAATCGAACTCAGGGGCACTCAACCACTGAGCCACATCCCCAGCCCTATTTTGCATTTTATTTAGAGACAGTATCTCACTGAGTTGCATAGCACCTTGCCATTGCTGAGGCTGGCTTTGAACTCACGATCCTCCTGTCTCAGCATCCCAAGCCACTGGGATTACAGGCGTGTACCACCATGCCCAGCTAAGCAACTCTCTATCCCATAGTCTTTTTGCCTTCTGAGTCAAAAACTAATTCAATAGCCACTCTTTTGGACATCTCTAACAAAACCCAATTTTTAACTGAATTGCTATAGAAAACAAAGTATAAACATATAAATACATTTGACTAATTTTCTGATTGTGAATGGTAAACTCCAAATAAGGCAAAGAAAAAAAATTATTTCCTCCATGTGTACATGTGTATATTTGAGTTCAAGCTGAAGAGGTAGCCAGGTGCAGTGGTGCACACGTGTAATCCCAGTGACTCAGGAGGCTGAGGCAAAAGGATCACAAGTTTGAGGCCAGCTTCAGCAACTTAGTGAGGTCCTGTCTCAAAATAAAAAGTAAAATGGGAATGGGGGTGTAGCTCAGTGGTACAGAATCTCTAGGTTCAGTCCTTAATACCTGGGGGAATAAAAAAGTTGACATATTTACTGGGGTATCATCATCTGTAATAGTAAAATGGAGAACTGAAGTCTTTCTAGATAATTTTCAACAGTCAATAAAACTGAATGGAGCATGCAAAAGCTTGAGTGCCATCCTAAGGCTCCAGAGTACCTGCCAAGAGGGTCATGTCCTGCCTCCAGCAGCTGAAGACAGGACAGCACTAGCCTCCTCAACTTTTCTGCCGTAACGCACCAAAGGAATAGGCTGGAATTCTACCAGCATCTACAACTCAGAGGGGCTGGGGGAGAGGGGACAGTATTTGTAGTTTATCAAGTCTCCAAGACTTTGGGAGTCTATTAAAATAATGTCAATTCCTGGGAGAGAGAAGAGCAGTGCTTTTATGGGTCACTCAATCATGCCTTGCATGGTAGAATCATCAGGGGAGCTTGTTAAGAATGCAGTTTCTAGGATTCCATCCCCAGAGTTTCGCATTTTTAACAAGCACACTTTCAAAGTGCACTTTGAAAAACCTTAGCCTGCCAGGGAAGGCGTTTTGTGGGCTGGAGCTTCAGAGGACTGAGTGCCCTTGGGCTCCCACGCTCTTCTAGTTCCCTCAACTTCCCTCCAGCCTGGAAGACAGGCTTGAGCCACCTGAAGGAGGGGTGAGTCCAAAGCATCAGAGAGCAGGGTCTCAGTAGGGCTCTTGGCTGTTACTTAACCTCAGCTCTCAGCCTTTCGAATCTGTAAAATTCTAACTGTAGATATCGCTAAGGTCCCTTCATCTTTAACATTTGTAGCATTTGATGACTGAACTTTTATTTATTTATTTATTTTGCTCAGGGCCACCAGCTGAGAGAGAGGAGGTGTAACAGAACAAGACCCCTTGTCACCGCCCCTCCCAATCACCACCTTGTGCCTGGCACTTTGCTCTTTCTCTATTTGCCCCTCACAATTCTTTATTTTTTAGATGTTGAAAGACCTTTATTTTGTTTATTTATATGTGGTGCTGAGGATCAAACCCAGTACTTCACAGATGCTAGGCAAGAGCTCTACCACTGAGCCATGGACCCAGCAACTCCCTTACAACTCTTTTGTCTGCCATATTTCCCACATCTAATGATTAGGAGTGGACTCCAGACTCAGTGGGGCAGTGTCCTTAAAGGCCTGGGAAGGGCTTTTCTAGCTTTTCGATCTAAAAACCTGTTTATCGAGGCCGGGGTTATGGTTCAGCAATAGAGTACTCGCCTCACATGTGCAACGCCTAGGGTTTGATCCTCAGCACCACATAAAAATAAATAAAATAAAGTTAAAAAAAAAAAAAAGCTGTTTATCCAGTTGTGGACCCTGCACTCACTCTCCAGGGCATGTGACAATTGTTTTTTCTTAAAAAAATGTTTTTAGTTGTAGATGGACATAATATCTTTATTTTTGTTTATGGTGCCAAGGATTAAACCCTTCTGCTTGCAAGACAAGTGCTCTATCGCTGAGCTACAACCCCAGCCCAACAGGTGATAGTTTTATATCATGGCTGCAGGTGGCCTCTGTGAATCTATACCTTACTGCCAGATCCCAAGTCTCAGCCCACTGATCCCTGAAGATTTTCCAGGGAATTATTTCCATCCGGGCAACTCAAAGAAGTTTGTTGTGTTGTACATCCAAAACAGCCCTTCAGTGTCCAACCTCCTGTGTGGTGCTCCAAGTCTCATTCCTTGATACCTCCAGAGTACAAGGCAAAGACTCTAGACCAGTGGGGCTTGGCCTGGGCTGCACCTTGGAATCATCTGAGCAGCTGGAGGTGGGGAGGCAATCAGGACAAAGCTACAGGTGATTGTAATAGGCATTCAAGGTCAAGAAGGTCTGTTTAGAGCCAGTGAGGACCAGGATTGGTTCCCACTCTTCCTCAGTGTGAGTACAGTGCTTAATCCCCTCTGGGTCTCAGTTTGCTCATCTGTGAAATGCCACTGTAGTAGTATCACCTTTATAAAGCTGCTAAAAGATTAAGTGAGGGGCTGGAGTCATATCTCAGTGGTAGAGCACTTGCCTTGCATGTGTGAGGTACTGGGTTCAATCCTCAGCACCACATTAAAAAAAAAAAGAAAGAAAAGATTAAGGTGAAATAATGTTTAGAGACTATAGAGTTTGTAGAGTACCATGCCTGGCCAAAAAGTAACAGATTAGGGGCTAGGAATGTGACCCAATGGTAGAGTATTTGTCTAGCATGCATGAGGCCCCGGGTTCAATCCCAAGCACTCAAAACAAATGAACAAAAACAAGTAGCAGGTAATATTAGTGTGATAGGGTACATTCGTGAGTTGGGGGCCCTTCTGGCAAGGGAGGAAATCCAACACCATTCTACCCTACACTGACCCACTTCATTCCCCCACCTTGTAGACAGCATCCCTCAGGCTTATGGAATTGGACAATCTAGGCCTGAACAGGAATTAGCTGATCCTCCCAGAGGAGAAGGTGAGAGCCCCCAGTTAAGGTAGCAGTGGCATGGTGGTGGACTCAGTGGGGATGTAGTTCCCCTGAGAAACAGGAGCAGGGAGGGGGTCTGGGAGCCCTGTGCTACGGGAAGCCTCAGAATACCATGTGGGGTTTCTTAGAAAGCTTGGCTCAGGAGGAAAAGGAGCCACCACTGCTCCCCAATGGGGCCTAGGGCCAGGCCAGGATCCTGCCACCCAGCCTGAACACATGCCCTGCCCCCAGGAAGCCCTCACAATCTTGTGGGGTTTCAAGTAGTTCAAAGGGAAGAAAAAGGACCTTCAAAAGACCTGTCTTTAGCTAACTGTAGGGGCACATGCCTGTAATCCCAGCAACTCGGGAGGCTGAGGCAGGAGGATCACAAGTTCAAAGCCAGCCTTAGCAAATTAGGAAGACCCTGTCTCTAAATAAAAAATAAAAAGGGCTAAGGATGTGGCTCAGTGGTAAAAGACCTGTGTTTAGACTCCTCACAGGCCATAACAAGGGAGGACTGAAACTGGATTTCTTTTCACTTGGAAAAACAAAGTGTGACATTTCTCATGATCTGTGTGCTATGAAATAAACTGCACATCAGTTATGATTGTGGTGCTTCCTGATTCCTCTTTCCCCCTTTCTTCCTTCTCTGCCTTCCTTTAGGTATGCCTGAGGAGTCTGGCACCTTCCCTTGAGGCTTTCTGTCCCCTTCCTGCCGCCTTCACCTCCTTCAGATCGCCACCCACTTCCCCTGCCCACCCTGAGCTGAGTAAGGGGCTCCATGATGCTGCCTAACTGTAATACCTGTCATATATTGCTTCCTCTTGTGATTTTGTCAGCTCCCCATGTCTGTCTTTCTCAACATCCTATCCTCTGAGCCAAGCAGAATGCCTGAATGCACTAGGCACTTAACATAATCTGATTGGATGGATGGATGAAGGGATAAACAGATACAGTCATCCCATCTTGGGTGACAGCCGGGGACAAGCAGAGAAATGGCAGATGCAGGAAGCACAGAACTCGAGGAGGAAGTAGAAATGAATTGCAGCCTTGAGAATTCCCTCTGGCCTAATCAAAAAGCAACTGTAAATTGAGTAAAAGCTAGAAAGCAGCATAAATGTTGCCAAAGGCATTAAGGAGATCCTTATCAGACACAGTGAAAGTGACTTGCCAAATTTTTCACCCAATGGAACCTTGTTGTTGCAGTTATTAAACTGTTTCTATATTCATTTTACTCGTAAGGAAAAACCTGCATCTTTTGTGGCTCCAGTGGCTCTTGATAATTAGATGAAAAATGTATATTTGTAATGTGTTGGTAATCCAGGCTATGTCTACTTAATGTATTGGGCTGTTTTATTCAGTCACTGCTTTCTGGGTTTGTAGGCATGATGGCCAGGCATGCTTAAAAAGAATGTTTAGGGTCAGAATGTTCAAAGCCAGAATTGGCAACTTAGTAAGGCCCTAAGCAACTCATTGAGACCTTGTCTCTAAATAAAATATTAAAAGGGCTAGGGATGTGGCTCAGTGGTTAAGCACTCCTGGGTTCAATCCCCCCATACCAAAAAAAGAAAGGTTAGGGCTGGGGATGTACTTGGTGGTAGAGCAGTGGCCTAGCATTAGGAGGCCCTGGATTCCATCCTTAGCATCTGGGCATGGGGGCGGGGCATGGGAGTTAACCTAAAGAATTGCAGAGGGGGCTGAGGTTGTGGCTCAGTGGTAAAGTGCTCACCTAGCACGTGTGAAGCACTGGGTTTGATCCTCAGCACCACATAAAAATAAAAACAAATAAAAATAAAGGTATTGTGTCCAACTACAACTAATATACATACATATATATATATATACATACATATACACATACACATATACACACACACACACACACTAAATAAATAAATAAATAAAAGAAAAGAAATGCAGAGGCCAGGTGGTTGTGGTACACATCTGTGATCCCAGCTACTTTGGAGTCTGAGGCAAGAAGATTGCAAGTTCAATCAGCACCCCAGGGTTCCATGCCCAGTACCAGAAAAGAAAAACAAAATGGAAACAAAACAAACAAACATAGTTCAAGGATATTCTTGGGAAGAGATTCTAGAGGGCTGTGAATATTACTGTGCCTAGATGTTAGACATGAATATATGTGACAATATAGTAGAATATAGAATGATAAAATATACAGAATATTTATAGAATAGAGTATATGCTTGAATATGTTATAGAATGTAAAATCTAGAATTAAAGTGTTAGCAAACCACTAGAACTCTTATGCTTTTGAATACCTTCCCTACCCTAAACCCCACTCTCAGAGGGCCAGGGTAATCTTGGTTCAATTGTGGAAAAGGCAGTGTTAGTCTTTTTAATAGCTTTAGCTGAAGCTTAGGCGGCCATAATGCACCTGGCCTTCTGCTCCATGTGTGGGGCCCCCAGGCATCAACAACCCTTGTGCACCTGTGGCCTCTGCATTGCCCCCCCCCAAAGGTCTGAGTGACCCCCTGTTCTTCTGTGCTTTCTAGGTTCTTCTCTCTCAAGGCCATCTGCGGTGGAAGCACTCAATCTCAGGATCCAGAGAGACCAAACAGGATTCTTGACATTCCGATGATAATCTGAGGCATGGATGGGCAAGTGACTTCTGGAAGCTGTGGCTAGTCCTGATGCCCTGAATCATCTAATTCATGAAGGAACCAATTAACACAAAGGATCAACCACTGAACACTTGAGATTGTGTTTTTGTTTTTCCTTCCCGAAAATATCTTTGTTGTTCGAAAAACAAAAATAAGGGCTGGGGATGTCTCAGTGGTAGGGCAATTGCCTAGCATGCATGAAGCCCTGGCTCCCATCCCCAGCAAGGCAAAGAAAGAAAAGAAAAGAAAAGAAAAGAAAAAAAAAACAGTGGGAGAGGGGAATACTTAAACTAAAATGTTTCTCATTTTAGAACTTCAAGTTCATGTCAACTGTGTAGGGGAGATACCTTAGGGACCAGGGTTCTCTTTATATTCCTCTAACACTAGGCCCTTCTCAGTTTTACAGTTGATGGAGTCAGTGCAGCCAACCCACATAAATTATCTCTTTCCAGTTTCTTCTTAGAACTTTCTTGAAGTGGAATTTCAGGAGGTCTCATGTCTCTAGTGAAAAAATTTATTTCCACTAACTAGTAAATCTCTCCAAGGTGGAGTCAAGACCTTCATTTCTGTCTTCCTAATAGTGCCTTGCACCTAATAGGCACTCGATGAGAGGTTTAAATTGATTTATAAATGGATTATTAAGGAGGGCCCTTCAATTACACCAACATTTACTGGCTGCAGTAGTTCCTGCCAGGGAGCACAATGGGACCTCCTGTCAGAAAAGCCTGTGAACAAAATAGCCTTCCTGCTTTCCTCATGGGCCCCACTGTTCTCCTGGGGAACAAACTGAGTTTCAAATTGACTTCCTATTCCTTTTAAGTAAATAGGAAAAAGGGGGCAATAGAAGCCATTGTACCTTATCCCCCCAGCTCTGCAATTTACTATTTTAATGCAAATTTTAATGAAATAATGAGAAGAGGCTCACAGACAATGCGTGCAGCTACTCAGGCAATTATGTAAAGTGAATGAGGTTGGAGAGCAGTGTCCTAACTGCAGGGATGGTGGCAAGACCAGTTTCATACAAAATAGACCCCCAGCCATGGACATATTTGCTGGGACTGCCTCTGAAAGTCTGCTCAATTCTTTCCCAGAGCATGAGTGCCCTTCCTTGGAGGCAGAAGTTGGGGTAAGAGGGTGAAAGAGAAAGGAAAGCCAGACTTTTAGCTATTCTTTTGGCTATAGCTTGGTGGAGGGATATGTCCCAGTGGTAGAGCACTTGTCTAGCATACACAAATCCTTATGTTCAGGGGTCAGAATATAGCTCAGTTGGTAGAGTGTTTGCCTTGCATACATAAGGTCCTGGGTTCAATCCCCAGCACCAAAAAACATAAGAAAGGTCCTTGCGTTCAGCCCCCTGGGTTCTGAAACCCCAGGTTCCTAGCACCAAGAAAAACAGAACAAAGGTCCTTGCATTCAGCCCCCTTGTCCCAGCCCCCAACACACAGGTTCCCAAGTCCAACACGGGATACTAAGATGGCTCATTTTATTTTATTTATTCTTCATAACAACCCTTAAGAGCAAGGGTCAGGGGCTGGGGCTGGGGCGGTAGAGCGCTCGCCTGGCACGTGTAAGGCACCTGGTTTAATCCTCAGCACCACATAAAAATAAATAAATAAAGGTATTGTGTCCATCTATAACAACAACAAAAAAGCAAGGGTCAGCAAACTATGTCCCTTAAACCAAATCTGGTTCACCATCTCTGTTTAGTTTTTCTGTGGAGCTGGGGACAGAACCCAGGGCCTTGCACAGGTCAGGCAAGTGTTCCACCACTGAACTACATGCCCACCTCATTGTCTATTTTACAAATTAACTTTTACTGAAACACAGCCATGCTCATACATTTACATATTGTCTATGGCTGCTTTCAAACTGCAATGGCAGAATCAAGTACTTCAGAAAGAGACCATTTGGTTCACAAAGCCACAAACATTTACTGTTTGGTCCTTTGTAGACAAAGTATGCGGAACCCTGTCTTAGAGAAAGGCATTCATATTAATCAGGATAAGCTACATTAGCTGCAGAGCAAATTGTCCCGGAAATTTCAGAGGCTTCACATAACAGGTGTATTTTTCACTTAGGTGACATCTATTGTGGGTAAGCAGCGGGTTCTGCTCTACTTAGTAATCCAGGGACCAGGCTGGGGAAAAAAAAAGAAAGAAAACCACTATGTCAACAGTTGTTTTCATGGCAGGGAAAGGGAGAGCCATAGATAATATGTAAATGTATGAACATGGCTGTGTTTCAATAAAAGTTTATTTCTAAAATGGACAATGAGGTGGGCATGTAGTTAGTGGTGGAGAGTTGCATGCTAGCTTTGTGATGCCTCATTTGGAAAGTGGCCTGCTCACCTTGGCTGCCACTAATCAGATGGTACCACCTGACTGCAAGGAGGCTGGAAAATGTGAGGGAAGAGGCACATGGTTGTTTTGGTGAGCAGTGAATATCCACACACTGCTGTCCCCTCCATTGGACAGATAAAGAACCAAGTGGCAGTTCCAGAGTTCTGAAATGATGTGGTCAGGATTCCAATTCTGGCCTTTCTAGTCCTAAAGCCTGTACTCTTCTCGAAATCCCATGCTGCCTGCCATTCATTTATTTTCAGTCAGTTCCATTAATCAATTTCATTGAAAGTTGGATCCCATTTCAGTCAGACCAGGTAGAGATCTAGGAAGCTGTTTTTGAACAATGACATCAGTGCAGTCTGTGGAAGCAGCAGCCAGTGTGAAGCTCTGGAGAGAACGCAGAGCAAAGTGTTGCTGGGAGCAGAGGTAATTCAGCCAGATTGAAAGGAGGAGGAATAGGGTGTTTTTGAGGACTGTTCCAATCTGGTGAACCAAGAAGAGTGACACTCACCTGGTATGCAGTCTAAGGTAGCGCCTGCATTCCACAGAGCATTTGTTCCTCCTTGGCAATCACACTTGCATGTTTTTTGGTACCAGGGGTCCTCGCCCTCATCCTGCAGGCAGCCAGAGGAACAGGAAGTCAGAAAACTTGCAGGCAAAGGCAACTGTGGTCAGTGCCTATGGAAAGCTTATTTTCAAAGATCATGTTCTTTCCTTACATATTGTCTGAGTGTTTTGTTACAGTGGCAAAATTGTTACCAGCCTGAACACCTACTGTTGCCACTCATCTTTGATTCTAAATAAACAAATATCTGTGGCCATGGGTGACCAGCTAATAATCTCTCAGATATATCCATGTAGAGGGCGGTGTTCACCCTCTGAGGGCTTGGTGATAGTCCTATATATTAATTCTGATTAATATGAATGCCTTTCTCTAAGACAGGGGTCCGTATACTTTGTCCACAAAGGACCAAGCAGTAAATGTTTGTGGTTTTTGTGGACCAAATGATCTCTTTCTGAAGTACTCGATTCTGCCATTGTAGTTTGGAAGCAGCCATAGACAATATGTAAATGTATGAGCATGGCTGTGTTTCAACCCAATGCAAGGTTGGACTTTTTTACATGTCCTGTAGGTTCCTATCCAGGGATCCAATTTTTAAAGGTACTGGATTTGGGATGGAATGTAGCTCAGTGGTACAATGCTTGCTTAGCATGTGGGAGACCCTGGGATCAACCCCCAGCCCCACAATTAGAATACATAAAGGCACTGGATTCAAAACTGAGCATTCTGAGTTAAGATCTGGTTTACTGTTATTCTCTCATTAAAGCACCAATCTTGCTGGGGGTGTTGCTCAGTGGTGGAGCTCTTGCATTAGCATGACCCTGGGTTCAATCCCCAGCATGGGGGTAGGGGTGGGGTGGGGTGATAGTCCTATATATTAATCTTGTCTAAGAAAATTTAAAAAGCAAGCTGGGTTCAGTGGCACATGCCTATAACCCCAGCATCCCGGGAGGCCAAGGCAGGAGGAACTCAAGTTTGAAGTCAGCCTCAGTAATTAGGGAGATGTCTCAAAATAAAAAATAAAAAGGGCTGGGGATGTAGCAGCTCAGTGGTAAGTTCTCCTAGGTTCAATCTCTAGTAATGGGACGCAGGGGCTTCAAAAGCTGTGCCCATGTACATTCCAGCCTTCTAACTGTGACATACCTCTGTAGATGATAATCCCAGTGTGGCTGAGCAAAAGAATAAGACAGGAAAAATGAAATTAAGAAAAAAGCAATTTGACAATATTATTCATTACACAGAAGCAAAAGGAAAATAATCATGTGAAAGTTAACAAAGCTCCTTCTGAAAGAAGTCAAGCTAAGCACCTATCTTCCAGGAAAAACATCCACAGATGCTGAGAAACTAGGGACAGTAAAGTGAAACAGAACAGGATGCTAATTACTATTTTTGTTCATTATGGAATTTTGGAAAATATATTAATGTAGCCAAGCAGGGGAGGAGAGACCATTTATATTTTTCTTCACCAAAGGCAACAATGTTTAGTGTAAATTTTCCCATTTTTCTTTTTTCTTCTGTGCTGGGGATTGAACCCAGGGCTTCATGCATGCTAAGCAGGCACTCTACCACTGAGCTCTATCCTCAGCCCTTTCATGTGTGTGTGTGTTTTTTTTTTTTTTTTGGTGGTGCTGGGGATTGAACCCAGGGCCTTGTGCATGCAAGGCAAGCACTCTACCCATTGAGCTATATCCCCAGCCCTCATGTGTATTTTTTAAACATATTTGAGGGCTGGGGTTGTGGCTCAGCGGTAGAGCACTCACCTAGCACATGTGAGGCCCTGGGTTGGATCCTCAGCACCACATAAAAACAAGTAAATAAAGGTATTGTGTCCCATTACAAAAAATAAATATTTAAAAAACATATTTGACAAGCTACTCTATAAATAATGTTGTATCTTGCTTTCCTTTTCTATTTAACAGTAACAGTGTTAGGTTTTCTCTTATTACTTTTTCATCCTCCTCCTCCTCCTCTTCCTCATTCCTGGTGTCTATCTAATGTACTACTCAGGAGTTGATACCCAGTTCCCTTACCATGTCATAGTTAGATTATTTAGGATTGGGACATTGTTTAGAAATTCCTTTGTAGGTTTTTCTATAATTTATAGGGAATGCCAAACCACAATTAAAGTGTAAATACTATATATAAATATGGGAAAAGTGAAAGCATACAAAATTTAACACAAAACTGACATAAACTATCATCTCTGGAGTACAAATAAAGAGGATGAGTACATAATAAGTAGGAAAAGAGTTTGTGTATATTAGTATAAACTGATTAAAGCTTCACTGTCCGGTGCAATAGCAACAATTTCCATGTGGTCATTGGAATTTAAAGTAGTCAAAATTGCCAGGGTGAGGTAGCACATACCTGTAATCCCAGAGACTCTGGAGGCTGAAGCAGGAGGATTGCAAGTTTGAGGCCAGCCTCAGCAATTTAGTGTGAGATCCTGTCTTAAATTTTTTTTTAATTTTTTAGTTATAGGTGGACACAATATCTTTATTTTATGTAGTGCTGAGGATCAAACCCAGTGCCTCACGCATGCTAGGCAAGCGCTCTACTGCTAAACCACAACCCCAGCCCCTGTCTCAAAATTTAAAAAACTAAAAGGATGGCTCAGTGGGAAAGCATCCCTGGGTTCAATCCCCATAGGGAAAAAAAAAAAGTCATTAAAGTTAATGGGCTGGGGCTGTAGCTGTAGCTCAGTGGTAGAGCACTTGCCTAGCACATGTGAGGCACTGGGTTCGATCCTCAGCACCACATCAAATAAATAAAATAAAGGTATTGTGTCTGTCTACAATTCAAAAAAAATTTAAAAGTTCAATTCCTTAATTGAACTAACCCATATTTCAAGTGACTAATAGCCACATGGGCTACTGTAATGGACAGCACAGATGCAGAACATTTCCATCATCACAGAAAGTTCCATTGGAGAGTGCTGGTTTAAAGCTCAGAAAGGGCTCAGGAAATGCTACCCCCAAATACAGTCCCTTGGTAGATTGAGTATTTAAGCTGAAGGAAATTGAGAAAACTACAGAAGCAGGAAGGTCCCATTGATCTTCTTCTGCCCCTTTGCTCCTGAAATGAGTCACATAAATTCTCCTCACTTCTTTCTCCCCTGAAGTGGGCCATAGAAACTAAAATTTCCCTTGCTCCTCCTCCTCTGAAACAAGCTATAAAACCTAGGAAGGCCACTCTCTGACCTTCTCTACTAGACACCATCATTTGACAGGTGTTCTGTCCTATTCCCAGAAGGAAGGAATGTCACAAACAGGGATACCAAGAAGAATCTGAACAGCCCTTGCTAAGTTCCCCCCCCCCCAGTTTATTACCATTATATCATATGTTTTTGTTTTCCAATTATTCTTCTGCATGACTATCCATACAAGTATACAGACTTCCCTATTCCTTCCTTCCTTCCTTTCTCTCTCTCTCCTTCCCTTCCTCCCTCCCTCCTTTTCTTCCTTTCTTTCTCTCTTTTTCCTTCTTTCTTTTTTTGGTACCAGGGATTGAACCCAGGGGTGCTTAACCACTAAATCACATCTCTGACCCTTTTTATTTTTTATTTTGAGAAAGGGTCTCACTAAGTTGCTTAGGGCCTCACTAAGTTGCTGAAGCTGGCTTCAAACTTGTGACCCTCCTGCCTCAGCCTCCTGAGCTGCTGGGATTATAGGTGTGCACCACTAGGTGTTTTTTTTTTTTTTTTTTTGTATTGTTGGGAATGGAACCCAGAGCCTTGAGTATCTAGGCAAGTGCTCTACCACTGCTCCACTCCCAGCTCAGGGTCTGAAGGCTCCTGTGCCATGTCAAACTTAGTAAGTAAATTTGTATGATTTTCTCTTACTGGTCTGTCTTTGTTATAGGGAGTCTTGGCCATGAACCTTACAATGAGTGAGGAAAGGGTCATTTTTCTCCAGGTTAGCACCAAAGCTCCATTTCCCATTTATTTTAAAATATATTTTTAGTTGTCAATGGACCTTTATTTATTTCTATGTGGTTCTGAGAATTGAACCCAGTGCCTCACACATGCTAGGCAAGTACTCTGCCACTGAGCCACAACTCCAGCTCACCCATTTCCCATTTTTTTGGGGGTGCTGGGGATTGAACCCAGGGCCTTGTGTATGTGAGGTAAGCACTCTACCAACTGAGCTATACCCCCAGCCCCCCAACTTCCCATTTTTGACCAGATTCCTTTATTTCTTTTCTGACTATAAAGTAACATTACCTATTATAAAAGTGCCAAACAAAACCTGAGTGTAGAAAATGGGAAGTAAAAGTCCTTCCTTTAACTACTTGGCTATTTAAAAAGTGAATCTGATGCCCACAAAAAGCTTTTAGATTGAGAGTCTCATCTCTTCCATCATAATGATAAAAGCTATCATTGAAAAAATACATTTTTACCCATTCTGTGACCACTTTAGTGTGTTCACTGTGAGTCTGGCAGTCTACTAGAGCTTGGGCCTTCTGAAATAGAAGCCTCACTGTGCTGACAAGGGTCTTCGGGACATTCAGAAGAAAGACTGATGCACAAGGTGACATTCCATGTCATGCACAGGCTGTGATTGGGAGTCAGGGGAGCATATCTCTTAGCCTGGGAAGATTCAGGGCCAGCCCGCACCTGTGGCCACCACACTCCTGTCTCTCCTAGGCCCTTGTTCCACGAGTTATTCACCTGCTATGGGTTGAATTGATCCTCTCAGGTAGCAATGAAGGTTAAGGAGCGCCATCCTGGTGGACATCTGCCTTAGTACTTGCTATGGTCTGGATGTTTGTGTCCCTCCAAAATTCACACTTGAAACCTATTCATCAAATGGCAGAGCCTATGGGAAGTGACTGGGCTCCAACCTCATGAATGGCATTAGTGCTCTTATAAAGGAGTTCCCAGAGAGCTAGCTTGTCTCTTCTACCATGTGAGGACACAGTGAGAAGGTATCACCTATGAATCAGAAAGCAGGCCCTTGCTGGACATGAAATCTGCTAGCACCTTGATCGTGGACAATCTAAGTTGCTTAGGGCCCAGAACTCTGAGAGATACATTTCTATTGTTATAAATCACCCAGTTTATATATTGTGTTATAGATGACCAAACAGACTAGGATAGTTCTGTGGTACAAAGCTCTGTACTGGCAAAAGAAGTTACTAATAATGTATTTTCAAATCCAATGGACTTTTCCCAACATTGACCTTCTGTCTTCACACTGCTGTGTTGGGTACTGTTAGTCCCTCACATTTTCCTTTTGTTTCTACTCTCTGGATAACCTGTTTCCTTTGAGAGCTTGACTTAGTCCACCCTATAAATGATGCTAAACCTAGTTCATGCACTAAATGGCTGATTGAGTATCTCCCTGTAGATGTCCTTTGCTGTCTAAAACTGGACCCAACTAAGTATTGGCAAGGAAGGCCAGGGATCAACCCAAACTCTCATATGTTGCTGTTGGAGCATAAAGTAGTTTAACCTCTTTGGATAATAGTTTGGCTATTTATTTAGGTACTAGGGATTGAATCCAGGGGTGCTTAACCACTGATCAACATCCCCAGCCCTTTTTTATATTTTATTAGAGACAGGGTCTTAACTGAATTACTTAGGAACTCACTAAGTTGCTGAGGCTGGCTTTGAACTCATGATCCTTCTCCTTCAGCCTCTTGAGCTGCTAGGATTGCAGGTATGCATGACCACACCCCGCTCAGTTGGTCAATTTAAAGCTGAACATATATGTGCTCTATAATCTAGTGATTCCACTCCTAAATGGTTACCAACCATAAATACATATATGTATTCTCCAAAAAACCAAAAGCATGTACAAGACTATTCATAGCAGTTATTTGTAATACCCAAAGCTGGAAAAACTCGACTGTCCATCAAGAGTAGAGTGAATACATCATGATATATTCTTATAATGGAATACTATACTTCAATGAAAATTGATAATCTATAAGTACATGACGTAATATGGATACATCTCACAATACTAAGTGAAAAGTCAGATGCTAAAGCAGATACACCATGTGAATCTTTAAAAGTATAAGAACAGGCAAAAATAATCCATGCCATTAGATATTAGGATACTGGTTGCACTTGGGGCAGGCAGTGGTGGGGAAGAACCTCAATGGGGGCTGGTCAAGATATAGTCCTTAACCCAGATGTTTGTTCCATGGGCATGCTCAGTGGTGAAAATTCACTGAGCTATATATTTATA